TTTTCTGTGCAATATGGAGTCAGTATAAGTATCCTTAGGCCTGCTGGAAGACATGATTTTGAATCTTAAGCACCTAAAAATGAGAAATAATATAGGCATGTATGTGATAGCTAATCTTGTCCCTGTTTTGTAGCATCACTCTCACGGACATTGCTGTCCCCTGATCTCCCTGTCCTACTATATCTTTCCACTGACCCTCAGACCTTTTCCTCTGCCTGATCTTTTCATGTTGATGACAATAAAGGTTCTTTTCAGAGTCCTCAAAGCTCAGTTTTCTGTAGCTGATGTCAGCATCACCTATGTTTTTAGCTATCTACCCATATGATAGCTCCCAATTTGCGTCCCCAGTGCATTTCCAGTCTTTGTTCAAAACCTGTGTGTCTAGAGGCCAACTAGACATTTCTACAGACTTCCCAATTACAATGAATGAAAAATATTTTAATATCTCAGCCAGACCCACTTTCCCGTTTTTTTTTTTAAAGATTTATTTTATTTATTGGCAAGAGTTACAGAGAGAGGTAGAGACAGAGAGAGAGGTCTTGCATCCAATGGTTCACTCCCCAGATGGCCACAATGGTTGGAGCTGCGCCAATCTGAAGCCCAAAGCCAGGAGCTTCTTCCAGGTCTCCCACATGAGTGTGGGGCCCAAGGACTTGGGCCATCTTCTACTGCTATCCCAGGCCATAGCAGAGAGCTGGATGGGAAGAGGAGCATCTGGGACATGAACTGGTGCCCATATGGGATGCTGGCGCTTCAGGCCACAGCACCAGCCTCTCCTGTTGTTCTTTATTCTCATAGTTGTTTGTACCATCATCCCTGTTTCCCATGAACTGGAACTTTTCTTTGACTTTTTCTACTTGTGACTTATTCAAGCTAGACACCAAGTCACGTCCAGTCTACCTCGTTACCATTAGTTTCATTTTTTATTCTTTACCCCACTGCTTTTGCCATTGTACAGACCATCATCTTCTCATGTCTGGATTATTGCAACAAAGTCCTGAATGTGTTTTTTTTTAGGGTTTTCTCTCATTCTATGCTTTTACAGCCAGACTACCTGAGCTATCTGAAATAGAAATCTCAGTAAATTACTCTCCTACTGAAAGTACTTGTGTGGCTTCTCATTGCCTTTGATGTAACCTCTGTAGACCCCTCTTAAGTAAGACATGCAAAATCTTTTATATTCTAGCTTCTGCTTTCTTTTACTCTGTGACTGCCAATTCATCATGCTTCTTCCCTTCAATCTCTGCTCTCAAGCCCCCATTTCACTTGTATAGGTGTTATTGAACAGTGCCAATGGTTTTCTGGGTAAGGGATGTTCTCAGGTTCCCACACACATTCTTATTACTGACACATACATGTTGAGCAGCCCTTGAAATGCTTGGGACTACAAATGTTTCATGATTTTGAATTTTTTCAGATTTTGGAACATTTGCATATACCTAGTGAGATATCTTAGGGATGAGACCCAAGACTAAATAAAACATCCATTTATGTTTCATATATCTTGTATACATAGCCTGATGCCAGTTTTAGAGTAATTTTTGAGTGCTTGTAGTTTGACTGTGACCTGTCACATAAAATCAGATGTGGAATTTTCCACTTACGGCAATGATGGTGTTCAAAAGTTTTGGATTTTGGAGCCTTTTGGATTTTGGATTTTTGGATTAGAGATGTTTAATTTGAATCTCCCATTCAGACTACTTTGCCTGAATAACCAGTACTCAATCTTTTATTAGCAATTAAGACTTCAGCTTCTGTAGAAAACCTTCACTTACTAATGTGGATTAAGTATCAGTTCTGTGCTTTTTAAGTAACATGCTCTTTATCTTGTTTTTAAAACTCTTATTCCCTACTCCCTCTTCTCCTATATAGTCTTTATTTATGTGCCCAGTACTTACACTATTGTAGTGACCATTAAATACAAACTATTTTTGTGCTTATATATTAGATGTGAATAGCATTTTTTTTTGACAGGCAGAGTTAGAAAGAGAGAGAGAAAGGTCTTTCTTCTGTTGGTTCACCCCCCAAATGGCTGCTATGGCCGGCACACTGTGCCGATCCAAAGCCAGCAGCCAGGTGCTTCCTCCTGGTCTCCCATGTGGATACAGGGCCCAAGCCCTTGGGCCATCCTCCACTGCCTTCCCGGGCCACAGCAGAGAGCTGGACTGGAAGAGGAGCAACCGGGACATAATCCGGTGCCCCGACCGGGACTAGAACCTGGGGTGCCGGCGCCGCAGGCGGAGGATTAGCCAAGTGAACTGCAGCGCTGGCCAACATTTTTAATTATTGAGAGAATTCACTCATCACAAAATTCATCCTTCTAAATTATTGTTTTGGTTTTAAATTTATTCATAGGGTTGTTCCTCTATCACTATAATGTTTTCATAACTAAAAAAATAAGTAAACCTCCTGTATTTATTGGTAGTCTTTCTCCATTCTCCTTTTTCCCATCACTCTGGAAAGCAATAATCTATTTACAGTTTGAATGAGTTTGCCTATTCTCGAAATTTCATGTTAATGGAATCATGTAACTTTTGTGTTTTTACTTGCCATAACGTTTGCAAGGCTTATCCGTGTGGTAGCATCTATCAATACTTCACTCCTTTTTATGACAGAATAACATTCTGTTTTACAGACATCATATTTTATTCATCACTTGGTAGGCATTTGTATTGTGTCCAATTTTTTTGTGGTTGTCAATAATGCTATTTGAAACATGTATAACTTTTTGTGTAATCAAATATTTTTATTTTCCTTGGGTATATGCCTAGTAGTAGAATTGCTAGATCATATGATAATTCTGTGTTTAACTTTTTAAGAAACAAAGTGTTTTTCAAAGTGGCTACACCATTATACATTCTCATCAGGGATGTTGAAAATTCCAAAATTTCCACATCCTAATCAGTACGTGTTGCTGTCTGGTTTATTTATTTATTTATTTTTATTATAGCCACTCTGGTGGATGTGGAATCCTATAGTGATTTTGATTTCTCTAATGACTGATGATGCTGAACATCTATTCATATGTTTATTGAACATGTATATCTTCTTGGGAGAAATGTATACTTACAACCTTTGCCCATCTTGAAATTGGGTTTAATGTCTTATTGTTGCTGAGCTTATAAGAATTATTTTTATATATGCCAAGTATGAAACCCTTGTTAGATACATGATTTTCAGATGTAAATCATATTTTATGAAATAAGTACTAGTATAGTGTTGACATATGCTACAATATGGATGACCTGTGAAAACATTTTGTTAAGTGATAATATCATATGCTGTATGAATCCATTTATTTGGAATATCCAGAGTAGGTAAATCCATGCAAACTGACAATAGATTTGGTTGCTGAGGTGAAGGGGAAATAGAGACTACTAAAAGGTACAGGATTTTCTTGGAATGATCAAAACACTCTGGAATTTGTGGTGATAGGTGGACAACCCTATGAATATATTCAAAATTACCAAGTGGACACTTTATCTTTTTAGATTTAAAAAAAAATTTTTTGTGCAAATTTCATGTATTTTTTATATATACAGATTTAGGAACATAGTGATACTTTTCCCCTACCCTCCCTCCAACCCAAGCTCCAGCCTTTTAAAAGGGTGAATTTTATGGTATGTGAATTATATCTCAAAAAAACTTTAACCCAAGTGTACTTCAGTGTTTCACTTAACCTATTTATATTTGTACCACTTTTGTAAGACAGCTGTAGCATTATCCATTGGCCAGGGTGACAGGACTTGGAACACTTTTGTTATTAGCAAAAGATGAGAAGCATGACTGTCATCTACTGGCCTTTCAGAGGCTCTACCTGTTGTCTTCTGTCATTGTGCTGCTGCACTTTAGAACACCCTCTTTGCTTGTATAAAATTGAAAACCGGTTGTTTTCATATTTAATTTAAATTTTTTACCTTAGTTGTGATAAGATCATTTATTAGATGCATTTTCCCACCGCATAGTGTGTTCATTTGCTTTAGAATCTTTAAATATTTTTAAAATATTCATATCTGCAAATAAAAATGTATTTGTAGTACACATTTGGCATGGTGGTTAAGATGTTGCTTGGAATGCTCACATAACAAATCTGAGTGCTTGGGTTTGAGTCCTGGCTGTTCCCCCTATTTCAGCTTCCTACTAATGTGCACCCTGGGTGGCAGTAGTGATTGCTCAAGTAGTTGGCTTATATGGGACACATGGATTGAGTCCTTGGTTCCCAAATTTGGCCGCACCAGCACAAGGCCATTGTGGGCATTTGGGGAGTGAATTAGTGGATGGAAGTTTTCTCTCTGTCTCTCTCTCTCTCTCTCTCTCTTTTTTTTTTCTCTTTATGCTTCTCAAGTAAGTAAAATAAACAAAAATTTGTTTGTGATTATGTAAGATGGAGGTTTAGAGTTTTGATTATACTTTGAGTATCTTTCCCAGAAAATAACTTTTGCATAGGAATAGTGATAGTAAATTATAGGATTTAATTTTGGAATAAAAAGTAACACATTTTTGTAGATGTAGCTTTTAAATGTGTGAAATTACTGTGAAGTGTGTCTCAGCTCTTTCTAACATTGTTGGTAATATTTTCCTGTTACAGAATAAAGGATACCGAGTACAGGGAAAAGTAATATTTGTTTTAAAAAAATGGGATTTATTTTGGGGTCAATTATTGTTTATAACTACTTGAAAACAGACAAAAGTAGCTTTTATTTTTTATTTATTTATCTGTTTTGGAGTTCTTGGTAATTTTAAGCTCTAGCTCTACCCAACCAGAGTTACTCTATTGTGATGCTCTTTGGATTCTATGATTCTGATGGAAAATTCTGAAAGTCAGAGTGGCAGCCTCTCCATTTTCTTTTGTGCTTATCAACTCTCTCTCTTTATGTGTGCCTTCTCCCAGTCATCTCTGCCATCCCCCTCCTCACCTTTCCATACCCTGACCCTTGCCACCAAACTAAAATTAAGAGAGTTTGTAAAATAACATTTTGTGATTTTTGTTTTGTTTACAGCATAAATTGTGATCATGACTACTGAAGTAGGCGCTGTGTCAGAAGTGAAGAAGGATGCAGACCAGTTAGGAGCAGAGGCAACCAAGGAGAAACCTAAAGAAACAGCAGAAAATCAGCAGAATCAGTCCTCTAACACGGAGGAGGAGAAGGGTTCCCAGCCATCTCCTGCAGCTGAAAGCCAAAGTAGTCTACGCCGCCAGAAGAGAGAGAAGGACCCATCTGAGAGCAGGGGTATTTCTCGATTCATCCCCCCATGGCTTAAGAAGCAAAAGTCTTATACCTTAGTAGCGGCCAAAGATGGAGGGGACAAAAAAGAGCCAACCCAAGCTGTGGTGGAAGAACAGATCTTAGACAAGGAGGATTCCCTTCTGGAAGAAGAGAGACAGGCCAAGGCTGATGCAGAAGAAGCGGCTCAGAGGAAGCAACAGGAGGCAAAAGTTGAAGTCAAGGAAGAAAAGCCTTCAGTGAGCGGTGCTGAGATTCAGGTACCTTTGGGAGTGGGTGTCTGAAATGCAAACTTGAGGGTGTAACCGTGCAACAGAAAGGATTGGTTTTGGATCATTTCCAGGTTTCTTGAATTGCAATACTAATTTGACAGTGTCTTTGGAATATTTGGTCTGGTATTCATCTATGTCGATCTTTTTATTCTTTTTAAAAAAACAGCTCCAAAATAAAATAAAGCAGACCAATCTATATATGCAAATTATTTAAAAATTCTTATCTTGTTCTGTTAAGTACATGCTCTCAGACTCCTGCCACCTCTCCTTTTAAACAGGATGCCCCTTTATACATCTTGAATTTTATTTATATATTCAATGGGTAGTAGTAAGTAAGAGATTTGTGTGTGTGCATTTTGGTTACCAAATGAAGCCTGGGTTTTGCCGGGGTAAAGAATGTAATTACAAATTTTATTATCTGAATAGGTATTTAAATTTTATTGCTGGGTTGTAGTTTCTTCTCATTCAAAATGATCAACTTGGAAAAAATGAGAAAGTTGGTTCTGGAAGGGGGATGAAGGCAAATATCCTTTCTAGCAGAATTCCCAAATCTTTTATACATTATGGGTATAATAATGACAAATATTTTTTTAATGAGAAGCTGGAAGAACAGAGAGAGAAAAGAGTAAATGAATGGCCCTGTGCACTAATCCTGTATACGGACCCATTGTTCAAATGCAGGCAATGGCTAGGGGCCCAATCCCCAGTTCTTCTACATGGGTGGCTGGAACCCATCCACTTAAGTTATCACTGCTGCCCCTTAGGGTCTGCTTTAGGAGGACAGTGGATTGAATCAGGAGTCAGGCATTTTTTTTTTTGAAAGCTTTTATTTAATAAATATAAATTTCATATATACATCTTCTTCCCCCCATACCTGTCCTCCCACCCCAACTCCTCTCTTACCTCCTATACATTCTCCCAACCCATTCTTCATTAAGATTCATTTTTAATTATCTTTATATACAGAAGATCAACTCTGTACTAAGTCAAGATTTCAATGGTTTGCACCCACACACACACACACAAGTATAAAGTACTGTTTAAAGACAAGTTTTACCATTAATTCTCATAGTACAGCTCATAAAGGACAGAGGACCTACATGGGGAGCAAGTACATAGTGACTCCTGTTGTTGATTTAACAAGTGACACTCTCATTTATGATGTCAGTGATCACCCGAGGCTCTTGTCCTGAGCTGCCAAAGCTATGGAGGCCTTTTGAGTCCACAGACTCCATCAGTCATGCCAGTATTTAGACATGGCCATAAGCAAAGTGGAAGTTCTCTCTACCCTTCAGAGAAAGGTACCTTCTTCTTTGGCCCCTTCTTTCCACTGGGATCCCACTCACAAAGTTCCTTCAAGTAGGTCATTTTTTGCCACAGTGCCTTGGCTTTCCTTGCCTGAAATGCTCTCATGGGTTTTTAGCCAGATCTGAATGCCTTAAGGGCTGATTCTGAGGCCAGAGTGCTGATTAGGATATTTGTCACTCTATGAGTCTGTGTGTGGTCTGCTTCTCATGATGGATCATTCTCTCCTTTTTAATGCTATCTATTGTTATTAGCAGACACTTGGTCTTATTAATGTGATTCTTTTGACACTTATTCCTATCTATATGATAAGTTGTACACTTAAAATGATCACTTTAGTAAGATGGCATTAGTACCACCAACTTAATGGGATTTGGAGTCCATGGCAAGTTTCAGCTTTACCCTTAGGGGTAAGTCCATGGGAACATGTGCCAAACTGTACATCTCCTCCCTCTCTTATTCCCACTCATTTTCTATAGGGATCAACTTTCAATTATATTTAAACACCTACGAATAATTCTGTGTTAAGAGTTCAAACAATGGTATTAAGTAGAAAAAGAAAATAGTAAAAAGAATAAAATAATCTGTTTCTTGACAATCAGGACAAGGGCTGATCAAATCATTGCTTCTCATAGAGTCCATTTCACTTCTTCAGGTTTCCTTTTAGTTGCTCAGTTAGTTGTCACAGATCAGGGAGCACATATGATATATGTCCCTTTGGGACTGGCTTCTTGCACTAAGTATAATGTTTTCCAGATTCCTGCATTTTGTTGCAAATGACTGGATTTCATTTTTATTAGCTGCTGTCTAGTATCCCATAGAGTACATCTCCTATAATTTCTTTATTCAGTCTTCCGTTGACAGGCAATAAACATGGAGGTGCAGATAGCTCTTTTATTTGCCAATTTCAATTCCCTTGGGTAAATTCCGAGGATTGAATGGTTGGGATGTATGGTAGGACTATAATCAGATTTCTGAGGTATCTCCAAACTGTTTTCCATAGTGGTTTTACCAGTTTGCATTCCCACCAATGGTGGATTAGGGTACCTTTTACCCCATCCTCACCAGCATTTGCTGCAATTCATTGATTTCTCTGTGAAAGCCATTCTAATGGGTGAGGTGAAACCTCCTTGTGGTTTTAATTTGCATTTCCCTGACAGCTAGTGATCTTGAACATTTTTTCATATGTCTGTTGGCCATTTGGATTTCCTTTTTTGAAAAATGTCTATTGAGGTCCTTGGCCCATCTCTTAAGTGGGTTGATTGTTTTGTTGTTGTGGAGTTTCTTGATCTCTTTGTAGATTCTGGTTATTAATCTTTTATCAGTTGCATAGTTTGCAGATTATTTCTCCCATTCTTTTGGTTGCCTCTTCACTTTCCTGTTTCTTTTGCTGTACAGAAACTTCTCAATTTGATGTAGTCACAGTTGTTAATTTTGGCTTTGGCTGCCTACGTCTTTGGGGACTTTTTCAAGACGTCTTTGCCTGTGCCAGTATCTTGCAGGGTTTCTCGATGTTCTAATAATTTGATGGTGTTGGTTGTAGATTTAAATCTTTAATCCATATTGAATGGGTTTTTGTTTAAGGTGTAAAATAGGGGTCTTGCTTAGTACTTATTCATGTGGAAATCCAGTTTTTCCAGTACCATTTGTTGAAGAGATTGTTCTTGCTCCAGGGATTGGTTTTAGCTCCTTGATCAAATATAAGTTGGCTGTAGATGTTTGGATTGATTTCTGGTGTTTGAATTTTGTTCCATTTCTCTATCAATCTGTTTTTGTACCAGTACCAGGCTGTTTTGATTATAATTGCCCTGTAGTATGTCTTGAAATCTGGTATTATGATGCTTCTGGCTTTGTTTGTGTTGTATAAGTTTGCTTTAGCTATTTGAGGTCTCTTGTCCCTCCATACAAATTTCAGCATCATTTTTTTCTAGCTCTGAGAATGTCTTTGATTTTGATTGGTATCGCATTGAATCTGTAAATTGCTTTTAGAAGAATGAAAATTTTGATGATACAGATTCTTCCAATCCATGAACATGGATGATTTTTCCACTTTTTCTATCTTCTTCTATTTCTTTCTTTAAAGTTTTATAATTCTCATCATAGAGATCTTTGACTTCCTTAGTTAAGTTTATTTGATTTTTTTTTGTAGCTATTGTTAATAGGATTGTTTTTAGAAGTTCTTTGTCGGCCATGACATTGTCTATGTATATGCAGGCTATTGACTTTTGTGTATTGATTTTATATCCTGCTACTTTACCAAACTCTTCTATGAGTTCCAGTAGTCTCTTACTGGAGTTCTTTGGATCCCCTATATAAAGAATCATGTCACCTGCAAATAAGAATAGTTTGACTTCCTGCTTCTCAATTTGTATCCCTTTGATTTCTTTTCCTTGCCTAATGGCTCTGGCTAAAACTGCCAGTACTATATTGAATAGCAGTGATGAGAGTGGCCATCCCTGTCTGATTCCAGATCTCAGTGGGAATGTTTCCAACTTTTTCCCATTCAGTATGATGCTGGCCATCAGTTTGTCATAAATTGCCTTGATTGTGTTGATGATATAGAAGGAACATTCATACTTTGAACTTCCTTCAATCTTTAACTGAGAGATTTTCTTCCTTTACCTTCTTTCATATTGATGATCATCATGTTTCTGTGTTTCTGTGTGCAGCACATCCTTAAGTATCTTTTCTAGGGCTGGACAGGTGGTGACAAATTCTTTCAATTTCTGTTTGTTATGGAAGGTCTTTATTTCACCTTTTGTTCACAAATGGCAGCTTTGCAGGGTATATTATGGGATGACATTTTTTTTCTCTTAAGACTTGGGCTATATCTCACCATTCTCTCCTAGCCTGTAGGGTTTCTGTTGAGAAGTCCTCTGTGAGTCTAATTGGAGATCCTCTCAAAGTAATCTGGTGTTTCTCTCATGTACATTTTAGTTTCTTCTCTTTATGTTTCACTGAGGTGACTTTGATTGTGATATGTGGTGGTGAGGATCTTTGCTGGACATGTCTATTTGGAGTTTTGTGTGCTTCCTATACTTGGATGTCCTTTCTTTCTCCAAACCAGGAAAGTTTTCTGCTATTATTTCACTAAAAAGGCCTTCTAATACTTTCTGTCTCTCCATGCCTTCAGGAATTCCTAGACCTGTATGTTGTTTTTCTTTTTTTTTTTTTTAAATAATATCCTGTAGATTCCCAACAGTGTTTTTTAGTTTCCTAATTTTTGCTTCTTATATTTGATTTGACTGTATACTTTCCTGTCCTTTGTCTTCTAAATATGATATTCTTTCTTCTGCATCACTGATTCTGTTTTTAAGACTCTCCACTGCATTTTTTATTCTATTGAATTCTTCATTTCATTTTGATTCCTCCTTAGGTTTTAATTTCATGAGAGAGATGTTCTTTCATGTCCTGCATATAGTTCAGTAGTTCATGCGTTTGCATTTGATTACTTCTATGTAATTTGCATTTGCATTTGATTACAATCTTATGATCAATGTTTTAAGTTCCATTTCTTGCATTTCTTCTATGTCATCATCTTCATAATGTAGTATTGAAGTGTTTTATTCTTTTGGGAGTGTCGTGTTGTCTTCCTTATTCTTGTTTCTTGGATTGTTGGATTTGTTGTTTGGCATTTGTGGAGATACTTGTTGGTTTCTTCTCCCCTGCCCGCCCTCCCAGGCAGCTTTTATTGTTATGGTATGACTCTGTAGATAAGTGGAATGTCTGCTTTCAGTGAATCTCTAGAGGCTTGTAGTGGGTGTGGCCAGAGTGCTCTTTAAGGACGTCTGAGGTGGCACACCCAGGTTTGGCATGGTAAACTTCTTCTTCTTCTCTTTTTTTAAATTAGAAGGATGGTTTATAATGCTCAGCTGAGCTCCTCTCCTCAATGGAGACCAATGCCTGAGCGCTGGCTCCAGTGGGTGTAATATTTGTCTGCTCTGTCCCAAGGACCACACAAAGGATCTGTGTATTCCTCAGTGTAAGTTCAGATTCCTCAGCAGTATCTCTCACCCAGTAACCAGGAGTTCCTGAGCTGTGGAGTCTCCCACGAGACTGCTCAATGTCCCAGCTACACCATGAGTCCTCCCACATACCCTCAGTTTTTTTCACAGTCCCGATACAGAAGCTTCACACAGTCACAAGCTCCTAGTGCCCTGTTAGTTCTCTCCACTGGAGTCAGGAGTCTCCACTCGGCTGATTGCCAGGTGCAGACAAGCTGGCCCAACTGTTTTGTATGTCCAAAATGGCACTCTATTGGCTTGTTATAGGACACCATTGTAAAGTGATTGGGGAGAGAGAAATGTGTCTGTCACATCCTTTTTTTTTTTTTTTTTCCTCTCTCCTCTAATTTGGCTGGTACACTTTCCCCCACAGGGCTCCAAGCCAGGTTCCCTCTAGGTTCTTCCTGACACTTTTTCTCCAGTAGCTTCTGCTGCTGCTGTCTGGTCTCACCTCACTTTCCAGTGCTGGTGCCTAGGCTCTAGGCTGATTTAATCTTGAGCCATGTGTGCCCACGATCTCCCTCTAATTTTGGTAGCGTTTCCCTCTAATTTTGGCAGAGTTTCCTCTGCCGTTTTCTCCCTAACTCTTCCCTGAGAATACACTATCTCCACTTTTTTTTTTTTTTTTTAAACTATCTTCTCTTGGGCTAGAGCAGTTTGCTCCCTACCTACTCTGCCATCTTGGAACTGCCAGCTCATCAGGCATTCTGATGTGTGATGTGGGCATCCTAGCTGGCATCTCAAGTGCTAGGCCAGATGTCCACCCCAATCACAATTTCTATTAAAGTTTTTCTTTCAATAAGTTGTCTTCTGGAAATTTGTTAACTTTATTGTGCACCTATTTTTTTTTCCTCAATAGCCTGCAGAAGAAATAAGTAAGGAGAGAGAAGAGGAGAAGTTAAAGGAAATACAAGAAGACAAATCTGAAGAAGCAGCAAAGAGGGAAACAAAGGAAGTACAGACCAATGAGCTAAAGTCAGAAAAGACCTCTCAAAAAGCCATAAAGAAGACCAAAACTGTCCAGTGTAAAGTGACCCTCCTAGATGGTACTGAATACAGCTGTGACCTGGAGGTGAGTCAGGGAACTGAACCGGGAGCTTTTTAGTATGTGGAATGAAAGTAAATAATAACTTTCCTTTGTGGTATGGCATAACAGTTATCTTTTTGTACTTTGAAAAGTTACTGTTATTCATTTGGTTGCAATTTTGCATTAAAAGATGTCCATTATGTCTATTTTTCTTTTTCTTTTTTTTTTTTTTAAGATTTTTATTTATTTGGGGCCAGCGCCGCAGCTTACTTGGTTAATCCTCTGCCTGTGGCACCAGCATCCCATATGGGCGCCGGGTTCTCGTCCTGGTTGCTCCTCTTACAGTCTAGCTCTTTGCTGTGGCCCGGGAATGCAGTGGAGGATGGCCCAAGTGTTTGGGCCCCTGCACCCACATGGGATACCAGGAGAAGCACTTGGTTCCTGTCTTCGGATTGGCACAGTGCGCCGGCTGTAGCGGCCATTTGTGGGGGTGAACCTTTTAAATTTTACAGCACCTTATAATTATATGTCAATCTATTTACATGCCATAAATTAATAACTAATCTTCACTGAAGTATTTTGAATGGATCATCTCATTTAATGCTTGTTAGAATCTTTTCTGTGGTACAGACTATAATACTGGTATTCCCAGTGTTACAGTAAGGAATGCAAGACAATAACTTACATAAGGCTTCACAGCTAGTTAGTGGTTAAGCCAGGACTCCAGCCTCCAGAGTCTGGCTCTAGAGCTCATGTTGTATCCCACATGTGGGACCTGTTTTGGTCATTTAAAATATGATCCAGTAGTTTATTTTACTCATTTCAGTTATAATTGTTCTGATACTTCAGTTGTTTAAAGGGAATCAGGGGCAAAATAGGATTGGTGCTATAACAAAATACCATAGACTGGGTAATTCATAAACCCTGGAAATGTATTGCTCACAGTTCTGTTGATAGGGAACTTCAGGATCATGGTGCCAGCAGATTCTGGGTCTACTGAGGAACCACTGTTGATTTCCAAGATGGCACCTTCATGCTACCATGAGAGGAGTGAAAGCATAGTTCTCACATAGTAGAATGGATAAGGCCGCTCCCAGGCCGCTTTTATAAGGACATTACTCTTTAATCACCTCCTAAAGACCACATTGCTTAATAGCACCATGATAGGGATTAGGTTTCAACATGAATTTTGGAGAGGGACATTTAGACCATAGCAGTCTTCATACCTTTCTTTTCCTCTTTGCCCATTCTTTTTCAAGATTCCCTTTCTGTTCTTAGGGAGGGAGAGTATGGGGTTTAGAGGAAGGGAGAGAGAGACTGTGTGCTTCAAGGGCAGGAGTAGGAGTCATTTTGGAAAAGAATAGAATTTGTTTTCTGAATTTGTCTCAACTGCACTATATTTGACCAGATGTCTTTTGTCTTTCCTGTTGATTCTAGAAGCTTAGGGAGTTCAGATTTTTGAAAACAAACTTGATGGTAGCTTGTTCTGTGACCTTGAGTGACTTACTCAACCTCTCTGGGCCTTGGTTTCTTCATCTATAGAATACACACAGGATGACCTAGGTGATATAGGATGCCTCTTTCTTCCCTGAAGTATTTTATATTATGAAACCGCTAGATTGCTCAGTGTACTTTCTGATTTAAATCTATATTTGTTCCCTTTTTGTAAGAGCAATGAAATATTTCAAAAGTATAAAAATACAGAAACATTTTAAGGGACAGTTTTTAAAAATCTTTAATCAGGTATTACCATTTTGCCATTCCTATCTCATTTTCTCATTACTATTTTTACCTTGCTCTTTTTTTTTTTTTTTTTTTTTTTTTTGACAAGTAGAGTTATAGACAGTGAGAGAGAGAAAGGTCTTCCTTCCATTGGTTCACTCCCCAAATGGCCACCACAGCCAGCGCTGCGCCGATCCAAAGCCAGGAGCCAGGTGCCTCTTCCTGGGCTACCATGCGGGTACAGGTGCCCAAGCACTTGGACCATCCTCTACTATCCCCCCCACCCCCGCCACCAGGCCACAGCAGAGATGACTGGAAGAGGGGCAGCCGGGTCTAGAAACCGGTGCCCATATGTGATACCGGCACCACAGGCAGAGGACTAACCAAGTGAGCCATGGCGCCAGGCCCACCTTCTTGCTCTTTTATCTACTTCATTTAACTGTTGTGTTTCTTTGACTAAATCAGTTTATCTGTTCTGTACAGTTCCATTATATAAAATAAATAGCTCTACAGTGAACATTATAGTACATGTTTCCTTGTTGAACGTTTTTATTTTTTTATTTTTTATTTTTATTTATTTAATTTTTTAAGATTTAGTTTTATTTATTTGAAAGGCAAAGTTACAAAGAGAGAGGGTGAGACAGAGAGAGAAAGATCTTCCATCCCCAAATGGCTCAAAGGCCAGGGATGGGACAGTCCAAAGCCAGGAGCCAGGAGCTTCATCTGTATCTTCCATGGGGGTTCGGGGGCCCAGGGACTTGGGCCATCCTTTGCTGCTTTCCCAGGCGCATCAGCAGGGATCTGGATTGGAATTGGAGTAGCCGGAACTTGAACTGGTGTAATAGGTGGTGGTTTAATCCGCTACACCACGTTGTGCGCCCCTGAAGTTTCTTTAAGGTAGATGCCTAGTAGTGGAATTGCTAAGTTGATAGGTTGCAAATTTACTTCATCATACCAATTTATATTCTGGTTAGATTTTACCACCTTGTCTCCAGTCTCACAAGTACTGACTGATTTTGTGTATGTCACATAGTGTGTGATTTTCATTTGCATTTATTTGATCACTGTCAGTCAACTTCCACTAGGTTATAGGGAATACCAACCAACCTGCAAATTGCATTGATTTATAACAACTGTTATTTCTCTTTTTTCCTAAGATTTATTTATTCATTCATTTATTTATTTTTATTTGGAAGACAGAGTTACAGAGAGAGGTAGAAAGAGAGGTCTTCCATCCGCTGGTTCACTCCCCAAATGGCTGCAAAGGCCAGAGCTGAGCTGATCCGAAGCCAGGAGCCAGGAGCTTGTTCTGGGTCTCCCATGTGGGTGTAGGGGCCCAAGGACTTGGGCCATCGTCCACTGCTTTCCCAGACACATTAGCAGGGAGCTGGATTGGAAGTGGAGCAGTCAGGACTCAATCTGGTGCCTATATGGGATGCTGGCGCTGCAGGCCAAAGCTTTAACCTGCTACGCCATAGCACTGGTCCAACACCTCCTCCCCCCTCACACACCTCACACACCCCCGTTATTTCTTGTTACCTGTGCTTGCTGGCTTGAGTGGCTGTGTTGCATTGCTGTCGTCATTTTTGGACTGAGATTGAAGGGTGATCTTGTAGTTCAACATGCTGGTCTCATAATGGGGGCAGGGGCGTGGGAGAAACAAACTCTAGTCCTTGAATCTTCTGCTTAGAAGTTATATAAATCACTTCAACTTTACATTTTATTGGGCAAGCAATTTGTGTCGCGAAGACAGATAACAAATGGAGAAGTATGATCCTCTGACAGGAAAAGGGTGGTGAACACAGAAAAACAGTGGTACAGTTTACCAAAGATGAGTCTGAACATCATTTTATTGATTTTGTTTAGGTCGCTAAGGTTGCTGAAAGTTAGATATTGTTTCTCAGATTAAGGATGTTGCTTTCCTAGTTTCTAAGACTTATGAATGGTGGTGAATTTTGCCCATTGTATTTTCTGCATCAACTGAGATCACTTATTTTCCTGTTGTTTTTGTGATTTTTTTTTTCCCTAATGTTAGGCTATCTGAATTCCTAATGTAAATACTACTTGGTCATGATGATTCTGTGTTCGTTTACATTATTTTTATTTAGAATTCTTGCATATATTGCCTTTAATTTTCTTTTGTCAAGGCATTAATCAGATTTTGTCATCTGGATTATATGTTGTCCCTAAAAAGTTTACAATTTTCCAGAAAAGCTTGACTAAATTAAGGATTATCTGCTCTTTGGAGATCTGGTAGAATTTGTCTTTAATACTCTCTTGGCTTGGTGGCCTTTTGAGGGAAAGACTAGGTGTGGAGCACAATTGTTTGTAATCATTAATTTACTTATTTTATGATCTGTTTCTGATTTTTCTTGAGTCAGTTTTAGTAATTCATGTTTTTGGTGGAAACTGTCCACTTCATCTAATTTGACAGGTTATTGGCATAAATTTATCAGTGTCTTCATTTTGATTCCTTCCCATTTCTGCTATTATTTGCCTTTCCTTTTTTCTTGATTATTCTTGCTGTACATCTGTCATTTGAATTTTTTTCAAGAAGCAACTTTGTTTTGTCATTGTTTGTATTGTATCTTTTCTACTTTGTATCACTTTGTTCCCTTTTGTATTATTTTCTGTGGAATTACTAGGTTCTTTTTCCAATTTCTTGAGCTTAATACTTTGAAAAAAATGCGTTCAGTGGGCTCTGTCCTCAGCCTCCTCAGACCCCACCGGATGTCCCTATCACTGTTTCTCGCATGACCGGCAAGGTTCCACCTCCCCTGTGGACTTCAGGAAGTCTACTGTGACACTTTAAGGAAAAGAGTTGTTATTGAGCACAGAAAAAGAAATAGCCCAAGTCCTATGTATGAAAAACTTCCCAAGATGAAAAGAGAAGAAAAATAAGAAAATTAATTATGCCCATCCCTCCCTTTCATATCCATGAATATTAGAGCAATTCCAAAAGGTGTGAATATTCACTTTTAGACTACTAGAAGAATCAGAGTAAAAGAAACTGAAGAAATATTTTAAGTGATAATGGCTGAGAATTGTCAAAAATTGGTGCCCAACACCAAGCCATAGATCCAGGAAGCTGAGATAAAGAAAAGATGTTGAAAGAAACCACAGGGGAAAACCCCACCTTGCCTGGAGGAGTTAAATCTGACACCACAGTGAAGAAACCAAATATTTCCAATATGCCAAATAACAAATGCAAAAACCAAGGTAATAAAAACAAGGAAGTCACCATGAAGCCCTCAAATGAAAAAGACACCCCAATTCAAGATTATGAGGATGATGACATAGAAGAAATGCAAGAAGCAGATCTC